GCCTCTCATATTCCCAGCTTCACCACAACTCATGGAGGCTGCAGGTTTCCGCCAGGGTCTCCCCTCCTCATGCGCTGGAATCACTCTCCAAGCTGGGAAGTCAGGACTGTCACCACTACTTCCCTGTCTACAAGAGATCGCTATTATGCATTACCTGATGTATAGCGTCGGAAAATTATTGTTTCACATATTTCCTCTGGGGTTTAGGTTCCTTCATGCAATGAAGGTAAGTCCAGAGTAACACATTTTTGTTATTCTATTTTGGGCAGAAAAAAGGCATTGCTGTTTTTTTGGTGATAAGTTTGTTCATGTTCATAGAAGGAGAAAAACTAAGTGTAAAGTGTACTTTGAAAGCTGAAGAGAAAGAAAATTAGTGGATAGATTTTCTAAAGGAACCATAAAGGGAAAATAATAGAAAGCTGGGATGGGGCTCAACTTTGTGTATGGACAGAAACATAAAATTTTAATGAAACAGGAAGAAAGTAACAATGATAAAGCAGAGAAATTTAAATGCCGAGTTCATTTGGTCAGCTGCTGTTACTTGAGCTGCTATTATGTAATGTGAATAAAGTTCAACTCCTTCCTCCCATGAGGAGAGAGGATGGAAGAGGGGGGAAAGGAGTGTGATTCCTTTGCTCCTACTCCCTTTTCAAATTCTCTAATTCCTGAGAATTACATATTCTTGATGAAAGTGAGGGATCTATAGATTGTTTAATCAGCTCACTTTAAAACTGCCCGTGGTGATTCCTAGCTCACACTGGTATCTGATATCCATCATTTCTTGATTCCTCTGCTGAACCTTTCACTTTAATACCCCATTATACAACAAGGGCTAAGAGATATGAGACAAGTGAAAACATTTCTGTTCAATAAGATAATGGCCCTGCGTTAGGGTGAGCACAGCAGGTAACGGGAACACACAGCCAGGACAGGGCTCTGTAAAGAACTGCTCCTGTCACCCAAGGAAGTTAGCCATGAAGTTTGGTTGAAAGAAAGGATACATTCTCCACTGCAGCACTGGTGAAACTGTTAGAGACCTACTATCCAAACTGCAACACAAAAGTCACTTACTTGTTGCAAAGTGCCAACACTGCCCCTACGTGTTATCTGATGCTCAGCTGCTGGGGCAATGCTAAAGGGACTTGGATCACAGGCCAATAGAGCCCTGCATGGCCACTGTGCCATGTGTGCCACAGGTTCACCACCACTGCACTAGAGAGAGAACGTGCAGACCGGAAGCAGGAATTATTGGAGCCATGAGTCACCAGAAGCCACACTCCAGACCATGGTGTTTCGGATCAATCCTAATAAAAGTAGTAATCCAGGGTATCCCGCTGGGAACTGAGTGGGATGAGTTTTGTGTTTAGAAGTCATTCTAATGGCAGGGTGGAGTACACAAAGGAGGGAAGCAAGATGGCTAGAGTATTCATTGTGAGAAGGGGTAGCGCCCTGAGACGCAGGATGAGAATGGTGGGGTGGATAGAAGGGTTCCATCCCAGAGAACACACACAGAATATGCAGGCGAGTTGCCAGCACCTGGAAGTGATTAAATCTGCATCATGAAGAGGAGGCATCCAGGGAAACACCCAGGTGTTTGTCTTGGTAACTGGATTAATGGCATCGCTTTCAATGAAACAAGTATTACTGGTTAGATGTTCTAAAATGTCTTGCAAAATAAAAAAGGGAAGACTGGCATGATCTAGATTTATTTTATTCAACATATTGTCCACTTGCACCAACAGAATGATGGGGACACCAAAACAAGCAGGGGAATAGTAACCAGAAAAGTGGTGGGAGATAGAGTAAAAGGACAACCGAGAATCCCAAAAGCCCAACCACGGCTCCTAATGTGACCAGAGCCGAGAGTCTTGGTTCTGCTGTTCTTAAAGCAGTCTTGGGAAGTGAGACAGTAGAATTCAAGGGCAGATGTAGATGCTGGATAGAACCCCAACTGAAAAGTATGGAGCAGCAAAGGTATGTTAATAGTAGAGCTCAAGGCAGACAGCAAGATGTGGAGCTAACATAAGCATTGTTAAAACGTCTTCTTATGAGCCCCAGCTGGCTAGGGAAGCCAGAAAAATATTACGATGGGGTCAGTGACAGAACAGGGAAGAAGTAAGCAGCTGGAGTGCAAAGACCTGGTGAAAGAGAAATGGAGGAATAGGAGGTAGTCATCAGAGAGAATGGCAGGAACAAAATTTCCCTTAACAAAGTGGACCCAGATGCGATTTCACTTCATTGAAGATAGCCAGCAGTTGTGAAGCAAGACTGTTGACAGTGTATTCAATATGAAACTGTCATCCCTGTAAATGGGTATAAAGGAAGTCTGTGAGCTGGAGGTCAGCAAACCACAGAAGTGGAGGCGTGAAGAACAGAAACGTGAAACTGTTAAGATCTCACAGTCAATTACAGGGAGAAAGACAGAGTGGTGGGATGGGGTGGGATGGGTGCTTTTCTTCCTTTGATTCCAGAGTTGCTGGTTTCACTAGAAGAAACTAGAATTATCAAGAGAAAACAGGTGTTGAGAGGGATACTGAGAGGGGGAAACCATTCTAGAAAAAGGTTCACTTTCAAGCAGGTACGCTACAGTGGAAGAGGATTCAATGACAATCTTTTTCATTCTACTGGTGCTTGTGGAAGGACATAAGACAACCAAAGTAGATCTGAACAGGGGAATGTGTGTAACAGGAGGGTGCTGGAAGGGACATAGTGCAAACTTTCCCCTGGTAACTGTTTTAAACATAAGCTCACTTGAAGCTCTTCTCGGCGATCAGCATGTCTGGAAACTCCAAGTGGTTTTCCAGTCCATCCCCTCGAATACTCTGGACACACCAAAGCTATTGAGCATTGTCACAACACGTTCTCTGAAGCAGAGAATGTTCTTTCAGTGCTTCTTGCGAGCTCTTCAGGAGAAAATAAAATAAAGTAAAGTAGATCTTTCCTTGTCAATGAAGGTTGGAACACGGAAAGGGTTTGTTGATCACATAAATGTGGAAAACACAAACTTTCCTATTCAACACCAGGAAGTGATGATTAAGAGGGGAAGATGATAGGTATACACAAAAGGTTTCACCCACACCCTGTTTGTGGTTTTCACCCTGAAGCTGCTACCACACCTATGAGTTTTGGTATTAAAATAATATAGGCACAGGTAACTAAAACCTGCTGACCAATGCATAGAGTTACACAGCTTCTCAAAGACTAAGGTTGGCAGATGACACCAGGATTCCACATGGAGAGTATCTGATGACATCAGCCAATTTGATTGACACGTGTGCCTGCCTGTAGCTTTTCTTCCGCTGATCTTTGACAAAATTAATCTTATCTCCTTTATTTCACTGACAAAATGGTGCATTCAAACCAAAGGCAAAAGGAGGACAAATGACAGATTAATGAACAGGACCCAAACCATACATAGAATCCTTTTATGAAGAGATCTTAAGTGTTGAAGAGGCAAGGGCAAGAAGTTCCTGGCAGATGAAATAAAGAATTAAAATCTTATGTAGAAGATAGAATCGCCTATGCAACATCTTGTGTCTATGGTGCAAAAGATACATATAAAAATCAGAAAAGTAGTTGTCATCAGCTGTCATTTAAGGAGTGCTTACCCTTAATGGTGTATGAGCTAACCCGCACATGGGCGCGAGGTAGACACCCCCAGCGCATTTCACACAGGAGGAACCGCCCTTGGGGCCCACAGTAGACGGTTACCTGCCAGGAACCCCTCCCAACAGGCGGTGAGACTGAGTCACCTGACTCCAACGCGATGCTGCCCACTGGCATTTTGCGGGTGTTTATGATTATACTCGTCTACCTATTCTTGTAGATGGTTTACACTTTCCATAATAAAAAATTCAAAGGTATAGCCCTTCCTTCTCAGACTGCAGCAATGAAAGAAGGATAACCAAGGAAGAGTGCCTTGTAAACGTGGGTTTGGGGGAAGGGAGAGAGCGTGTGTAGCTCGTGCACAGCGCCGCGGTGGGCGTGCAAGGCCCGGTGTCGGACAGGCACCCTCCTCTCCAGCAGGTTTCGAAGTGGGAACGCCGCGGACTGTGCAGTTCTGGTGTGTAGCTTTAGCGATCGCTCCTCCCTCCGATGAAACCGACATTCTCCGGTATCAGCGTTATCAGTGTAAAGGTGCTAATCACTCGTTCTCTAAAAAATAATGGAAACTAAATAAATAATAAAAGCTGCACTAGAAACCCGCTTTGAAGGTGAGGCTGGGCACAGAGAGTTGACCTTCTGAGTCAGCCCCAATCCCTGCCCCCCGGTGACACTGCGGGAGGGGGGGCGGGACCAGGTGGGAAGCAGGAGCGGGAGGAGGGGAGGAGCTGCAGTGGGGGCAGGGAGGGCCCCGCGGGCGCCGGGCTGGGGGACCCTGGGGACCCTGGGCTTGGCCCGCGCGGAGCCGTGAAGAGGGCAGGGCGCGGCCGCACCTGGGCACCCGGCCAGCTCACCTGGGCCCACGTGACGGGGCGGGGTCTCTGGCCACGCC